AACCAAATGTGAGTATCTGATCTACGTCTGAGGTCGGGTACGTGTTGACTTTGACTCACGGGCCTGAATTTCCGAGTTGAGATTGACTGTTGACTTTCCCACGGTCAATTGTCTCACGTTAGGACTCTGAAGGCCAGTTTTGGCCTTGCCTTGGGTAGTATGGGTACCACACAGCAGCAGGCCTTTATTCAAGCATTTTCACTACTTGGGCGTGACCTTTGGCCCCTGTTTTGGGCCTTTGACCAAAAATTGACGACCCACAGCCCACGCCCACGGCTGGTGCATATTTGAGCTGAGTTATTGCACTGCCTGAAAAGTGCATTGGAGATCATTTTTTTCAGTTTTTTGTGTTTGTTTTTTTTTGCCCTGTTTTATTTTTGGTCAAGGTCTGTGTGTGCCAAGTTTGGTGTTTGTTGGGGTCTTGGAGTTGACTGTTTTGGCTAGCCCTGAAAATGCTGAAAACTGAAATTAGTGAATTTTGCATGAAAACACACTTTTGCCTTGCTGTTTTATAGCTTTTTAAAGTTTTTTTTCAATTTTGTTTTTGTAAGTAGTTAGTATGATCTCCACTCTATGAATTGGTGGCAAGTTTGGTTAAAATGACCCTTGGGTTTTGTTATAAATGGCCTGACAAGTGGTCTGAAAATTGAGGCCTCCGTTAACCGTCTCTCGCACTGCGCCCAAGTTACCCCTATAAACAAACATGAACGCCACACCAGGAGGACATAATTTGGCAAGCGAATTAATTGTCATGACAGCACCAATGATTACCACATCAAGACGTATAATTGACACGTCAGCACAATTGATTATCACATATGTAAGCATAATTCACATGGCACTAGATGACCTGTTGCGGCTTCGCTTGCAAAAACATTTAGGACGGGCGATGCATTCATGGTGGACGCAACTAACCAATCCCCTCTTTCTCTCTCTCTCTTCCCCCACCCACCCACTCTCTCTCTCTCTCTCTCTCTCTCTCTCTCTCTCTCTCTCTCTCTCTCTCTCTCTCCTCTGATGGGTCAATCGATCAGCTGGTCGATCACATACAGCCCCTGCACTATGAAACCACATGTTCATTGAACGCCTCTCTCTCTCTCCCTCTCTCTCTCCCTCCTCCTCCCTGATGGATCAATCGATCAGCTGGTTGATCACTCTCTCTCTCTCTCTCTCTCTCTCTCTCTCTCTCTCCCCCCTGATGGGTCAATCGATCAGCTGGTCGATCGCATAAAGCCCCTGCACTATGAAACCGCGCGTTCATTGAACACCTCTCTCTCTCTCTCTCTCTCTCTCTCTCTCTCTCTCTCTCTCTCTCTCTCTCTCTCTCTCT